TGATAAGTCACTGCACGAATACTTACAAGATCCTTCCAGCTTACTTCCATAACGTTCTTCTAGTGCACTAAAAGCTACCCAGGGCAGGCTACTAGTAAGACGCTTCGCATGAACTTAAAAGCTACTTAGGTCTTAGCTAGTTTACTAAAAGTATACTATTACAGTACTTACTTCAAGCATACTAAGAAAGGACACTAATAGTACAAGCCTACTTCTGGCTAGCATCCTTTAAGGACAATTTTAGTATACTTCTCGAGAATGAGTATCTTAAAAGACCGTAAAGTATACTTAAAGTAACCTAGTTTTCGCTAAGGGTCCTCAGCAATAATGTTACAGCAGCTACCACTTTCCCCAAATGTTCTAAGAGGAAAAAACATGCGAATAGAAGTGAGGGGTTTTAAACCACAGAGACGCACATGGAGTGATTAGCAACCAGGCTAATTATGTCGAGGGACGCAATGCGCTTGAATATTTTCTAAATGTCCACGCGAAGAGCCCAAGCCGTTAGTTCTTCAAATTGTAACGCTTCCAGGAGGCCGACTTGGCTCTTTCCGTGATCAACCCGACGAGCGAAAAGAAAGACGTGGCCGTGGCAACAGAAACTATAGTGCCCATTGAACTGGTCATCATGGCTGGGCGTCTGTCTCGTCATGAGAGCCACATTTTTGGACTTATACAAATTTTTTCATGGCAAGTAAGTACCAAGGACACGTACTATCTGGACATAGATAAAATACCACTGAGTGAACGTAAAATGCAAAAAAGAGTAATTGAAGCATTTCGGAATTTCATGCTTATGTTAGTAAACCCGTTGGCAAACTTTAGAAAAATATACGGTGGTGACAACAAAACTTGGCGGAGTAAAACGAACTAAAAAAATCGGCGCTTTCCCGTAGAAGGAAAGCAAAAACTTTGACCAAATTCCCAATTCATTGGTGGATTTTACCTTGTAAATTTCAAGGTAAAATCAACTCTACTCCTTTCTTGTAAAGAAATGAAATCAACAAACTTTCCATGGTCAATGGCGGATGTGTTCACAGATGACCCAGATATCGATTGCCGTGACTTCCGGTGCACCCTCTCAATAGGTGCATCGAGCAGTCGACGCACCCTTTCGTTTGTTCGCATAACCGCGCCATCGCTAGCTCCATCGTCTGCGAGCGCGTCCGCCTCTAACCTTGGCAAGTTGGATGACCGTCCTAAACGTTTAGAGAAACAGAGCTATGCCTTGAAAGTTTACAAATTAAAACCCACCGCTCAAATTTACATTCGGTGAAAGTTTGAGCTTGCTGTGCGTAGGCGGCGATTTTTCCTGTTCGTCATACTGCGCTAGGATCCAGAATGGCCTCCGTATATAAAACGGGTTACGGTGAAAAACAAAACAAAAAATAAAAAAGTGTGCAATGGTCTTACAATTAAAGTGACAGCTTAAATGAAGCGCAGGCATAAATATCTTTAGAAATTGATTATTATTGGAATTATTGGAACAAATAAAATCAAGCAACGGGGAGAAGTGTCTTGAATTATTGTTTGTCCTGTATTATGCCGAATATCTCAGAAATATTTCAGGCGGTTGCTTATAATGTCTTTTTTTTTTTGTCCAGTCACAAGTCAATCTTTTTCACTTTGGCGTTCAATAGGTGCAAGTTATCTTGTTCTATTTATATTTTCAGTTACTGAAACCTTTGCATGCTCCTTCTCTTTCGTGTCTATCGTCTTAGGTACCTATTTCTCTAAAAGTGCCAGTCACTGAAGCTTGTTAGCTTGTTATTATTAGGTCGTGAGTAACCCATTGTACTCTCATGGTGGATGTAATACTCTTGCTGACGTCTGCTATGTTGGTGAATAGAAGATAGGAATGAAAACGATCACTCACTTAACATATAAATAAAACATCAAACGGGTTAGCCGCCCTCTTTTAATTTGAAACTAAACCTCACAAAACGTGTTGTTTTGTGAGGTTTGGTGTACGAAAATTTCCAATCCTCATTTCTTATGTAATGATTTAAACCCTCACTGGAGCACACGGTTCACGGCGAGCCGTTCTGCCTCCGAATCCGTAAGGAGAAGATTACCCCACCTTCGGGAGCGGCACGAGGAGTGGCTAACGCCACTCTTCCGAAAAGCACGTGCTCTCACCCTCTCAGAGCACATGTTCCACGTGAAGCACAGCAGAGTTAAATGCATTCTTCAAAAAAAAAGAGCGCCGCAAGATGGCTTCGAATGATCGGAATGCCAACAAATACGCTGCTGGTCGCATATGTTTATGCTTAAGCATTACGCCGGCCGCCTCCGGATATCTTAAAATGTTCAAAATCTCAAAGGTGTTTTTAAAATGAAATAAAACAAAAAAAAAAAGTAAAGACTGCAAACTGACAGTGCTGAGTAAATTTATTATCATGATCAAGGCAAATGTGAAACCCATAACACGCAATTTTTTTACCGATCTCAGCTCGGGTTTGTACCAAGCGGCATGAAACGTTCGTGGGTTCGGAAGAACCCACGAACAGAAAACAAATTGATATGCTCGTAAAAAAAAGCTGTAATTATCAGAACGTACGTGACACTCCTTCCTCGCTTAGGCCTTAACGCTCGAAATACAACATGACAAAATGAGGAGCTAGAGAAAATACTTTTTGTGAGTTTTCGCAATTGATGTCGCCTGGTGAATGCCCTCCCGTGGTGATTCTTGAACTGCGCTTTATGCCTGGACTCTCTTGAAGCAACGCCCCACCACACGCGAAGTGATATAAACAATAAAAATTGCCAATAATTACCAAAGTGTGCGTCCCGTCCTGGTCAGCCTCACTGAGCTACAAGCTGGGTTCCGGCCGAATTCGTTGATTTCGACGGAGCAGGTTTTCTCGGAATCCAGGGCGGACCTGAAGCCAGCGCTGCTCTAAAACGACGAACTGAAGTCGAACGTGTTAATTTCACCCGCCCATCGGCAGACGCGCACTCCACAAATGTAGATCCTATAGCGCGCCAAAACGACGATTGGAGATTGCCATTAGTGACTTCAGACTGACTGCAGACCAAACTTACATTTCTCTAGCGCGTATTGTGCGTGGACTAGCTCCCATCTATCTCGGTAGTAAAACTTTCTGGAAACGCCATTTAAAAAACCAAATCAAATAACCGTTTTTGATGGGTTGTTATCAAGGTGCTGCGTTGTGAGTACAGAGCCACATGCTAAAACTTGAAGGCAGTTACGCATCTTTCTTTTGAAACCTCCTTTCAATGTCGCCTTAGGTATGGACCTGCTTCGTTTGTGTCATGATCTTATCAACCATCACATGGGCACTCAGCGACATTGTCCACTCATGGAAACAACCAGGGCATTATTTAAGGTGTTTGTCGACGTTCTTCGAACACCTGTGGACGTTCATTGAAAACACCTGTACAGAAGGTACGAGAGCCGCTTTTTTTACAAATTCTATTTACACAACGTTGTTTCCCTTGTATGGATAAAATAGGTCATTACATCGCATTGCGAAGTGCACCAACGTATTAATGCGCGTACATCTTGGCCATGTAAGAAGTTCTAACGGGGGAGTTAACGGCCGATCAAACCAATTCGCTTAATTAGAGCTTTAAACGTCTAGTTCAATTTCTTTATAGTGCAGCTAGGCACTGATAAATTACCTTTAGCTTTAGGTTAGATCTACAGTGTTTCTGTTCAAGTGTCGTTGGTAGTGGTGTTGAGAATGCGCCCATGGCTAAAAGCAATTGTTAGTTAAAAGGATATTTGCTTTCCGCCGTTAATGAAGAATCAAATTTAGGGTCTAAAGATATTGCACAATAAATAAAACGTGATGCCCTTCATAATAAGGTAGGGAAGTGACAATTTGATTTGATTTATGAATGTATTGCCAAAAAAGAAGCGCATGGTGATAACTCATGTTCTCTGCAAAAAACAACATTTTTCTTTTAGTACTCACGTTTTTCCTTTCCAATATACTGGAGTAAAGAAGCGCGTACAAAGCAGAGGCGTCAGATAATGAGCTAAATCTCTTCAGAAAAAATCAAGAACGATATTCGCGAGAGAAGGCACCGAGGCTTCTAACTATTACAGTACTTTGTTTCTCCCTAAGTCCAAACGCAGCCGACGCTACGAACTGGTGAGACAGATCTCACAGCCTCAAATAGAGCACCATGCATGAGGGGGTTCGTCTTGTTTCTGTACGTGTTCTATTATCGCTGTACCAATCTTAAAAATAAAAGACCGATTGACTTGCGCTTTCGTCGCTGCATGATTCGTCCCATACCTCGTAGCGTCGTCTATCGAAATGTATTGTAATTTATTGTTTACAAATTTAAGAGCATACGTTTGTTTTAATTGATTATGAGAAGAGCGTTAATTCGGTGAGAAGAAAGAGGTGTAATTTTTCACAGCAATCTAGAAATTTTCATGGGTGAGAGGGGAGGGGGGGTGACACTCAGCATGAACCTGCAGATGATTCAAATGGTAGCGTGACAAAACATCGAAGTAACACAAAATGAAAACCCCTCATCGTCAAGGCAGAACCCCCATGAAACTGCAACCCCTTAACACGTACACAGAATATTAGGACCTTTTCTTCAACGTACTGGTAAAATATTGGTCTTATCTAGTTTTGACAAGCCTCCATGTCCTCCTTGCTAGCATTCCGCAGAGGGGAGGAAAAGTGCAATCCCCCGACGATTGAAATTTCATCCAAATGGAGCACAGGTGTTCGATGTCACTGTTCGTAATACGGAAGTACGTTAGTCCTTGATTACACATAAATCATGTGAACGTGGTCTTAAAATTGTGTAGGACATACGGAAGTACGCTAGTCGTCAATTACACGTAGCTCAAGTGAATGAGATCTTAGAATTTTGCAGGACTCACTGATTATTGTAAGCTGTGACCAAAATATAAGAACCGTGCTGCATTCAACTAAAGCTAGTCATGTTGAAGTTGGTTCCTGTTTGTGCGACTGCGCTTCTTGTTCTTGTTCTGTAACTGCTCGGTTAGGATGCCGTGCTCTGTCTTTTTCCCCACTTTTACTGGTTCGTTGGCTATCTTGACTGTCGCCTGATTGGACCACGCCGCTCCAACGCGTACTGTAAACCACACACTTTGTTTTAGTTATTTTAGTCAAGGATAAATATTTTCTTGAGCACCAGCCATGTATCGACTTAACAGAAGTTTTTAACTGATATTCCTTTCGATTATTTTTCTTCATTCGATTTCAGCGTCTCCTTCGACCCCAAAGCGGGATTCGGCACGGATCGTCGTAGGGTCGTTCTGGCTGGTTGTGATTATCCTTACGACAGGCTTCGCGGGTCAGATGAAGGCCATGATGATGGTCCAAAACGAGGCCGACCGCATCGACAGTATCAGAGACCTGTCCCTCAGGCCCGGGATGAAGCCATACCTTCCGGCCGGAAGCGCCGTCGTGTCCTCAATACGCGTGAGAGAATCCTTAGTTCTGAATGTAAATCTATAGTAATGTCAACAGTTTCTTTTACAGTGTAATTGAAAAACTATATCTTATCGTCCGATTATTTTTGGTACTTCCCTTGTGAACGCAAGAACGCTTGAAAAATATTCGAATTCAACTGTAAAATTAAAATGTTCAAATAGTCGTTTTTTGTTAATACAAGTAAAGAACGGAATCGTCTACCTAATAATATTGTTTTAGTAGTATCGAATAACTTTTTATAAAGTTTGTTAAACGACCGTGATTCATCCTTGTTTTCCTATGTTATCGAATATTGTGATGTTTGCCTTTCTTTGAGTATCAAGATTGTTAACGCCGATGCCTTGGTACGTTGCAGCAGAATGTAAATCCAGAAAAAAAAATATAAATTATTTCGACGACTTGTTTTCTATAATCGCCTTAGGATACTGATGAATTCCCCAAATAGATTTTTTTTTCATCTTTTTTTACTGTACCCCCATGGCCCGAAGGCATTACAGAAGGGGAAAAGAACAAGAACAGGTTAAGCTAACAACAAAATACAAATTTGGCAGACTCAATAACAGGAAAGTTATGTCAATACAAGCATATTAGGCACTCTCGTCAGCAAAATGATTGGTAATGGTACATTTGAAAAGCTCAGTGTTCGTGATGACAGTTATCGATCCGGGAAGGTAGTTCCACTCCTGCGATGCACGAGGAACGAAATATGAACAAAACACTCTCGTGATAGAACTCGGGTTGACCACTTTATACTGATGATCCAGACGAGAGGAACCATAAAATGGACGTGAGATTAGTGGGTCGCGTAGTATAGAATTATGGTAATGCATTTTATGAAACAAAGTCAAGAAACGTTTGGACGAATGAATAAAGGTGTCACTAAAATATCATTTTTTATAGAGGTGGCGCTGGAGGTGTGGTGGTCGTTACTTAGGATAAAACGAGCAGACCTCTTGAAAATTGCTTCTAATGTAGATGAAAGAGTTGCTTGGTCGGTATCCCAGACAAAAACTGCCTATTTTAACTTGGGGCGAATTAAAGTTTTGTAAATAATTTTCTTATGTGAAACATCGGTTAATGAAAAATTGCGTTTGATGTAGCCTAACATGTAGCCTGGAAGAAATATGCTGAATATGAGTTGTACGCCACAGGTTAGAAGTTATATGTACGCATAAACACTAATTTTATTATACTGGCTCTAACTGGGTATTACTTAGGAGGTTGTTAGGATAGTCATGCGATTGGCGAGACGCCCGAATCGCGTTGCATTTGTTAGTGTTAAGACTCATATGCCTTGCATTTGTTAGTGTTAAAGCTCATAGACCATGGATTGGTAGGCAGTGTTAACATCTGATTGGAGATTAGAAGTGCCATTATACTCCAGAGGTTTTCGATAAATCAGGCAGTCATCAGCGAACGAACAGATAGATGAGGAAACATTATTCGGAAAGTCATTAATATACAGTAAAATTAGTAGGGGCCCTAAGACTGATCCTTGTGAAACACCGGAAACAACAGTGACAGCGGAGGAGTTTCTATTATTTACAACAATTGATTGTCACGTTTGAATTTGGAAACATTCAATCCACGCAAGAGCGTTAGCGTCTATGTTAAGTTTGGAAAGTTTTAGTAGCAAAAGCTTGTGAAACACTTCATCAAAGGCCTTTAGGAAATCCAGAAAAATGCAGTACGCCTGCGATCTTTGGTCTAGAATCCTATGAAGATCATGAGTGAATGATAAAAGCTGCGTCTCACATCAAAATGTTTTTTTTTTGAAAATCATGTTGGGAAATGCTGAAAAAGTTGTTGATTCTTAAAAGTTAACGAGGTTAGAGAGTAGGACATGTTCGAGAAGTTTGCAGCGAACACTGGTTATAGAAGCCGGACGATAATTGAGAGAAATGTTTGTCACCAGCCTTGTGAATGGGTACCACCTTTCCTATCTTCCAGTCCAATGGGAGAACAGTTTGTTGAATTGATTGCTCAAACGCGTTTGTTAATATACTGGAACAGTAAAGTTCAGTATTTGTCAAAACCTTTGAATTAATTGTGTTTTTTAATGCAATTCTCGGTCCAAAATAACGCGCAGCACGGCAACGGGCTTCTCATCGCGTAACAATTCTAAAATAGTGTTTTCTTTGCTTAATTTTACGACAATAAAAACAACACGTTTTCGACACTACGTGTCTGAAGTGTGCTAGTCGAAAACATACATACTCAACACGATTTCTCAAGCAGTCTTCTGCTTTCTCGAACAGGATTCCAGGGATACATACTACCAGAAAGTGTGGCGCATGGTAGAAAAGCACAAGGGAAGCCAGCCACCGGCCGTCGTGCTGTCGGAGGCCTCGATGCGCGAAGTCGTTCTCGGCAAAGCTGTGGTCATCCTCAGTCGAGCAGCTGCGGCCTCGCGGGCCACGATTGCATGCGCCAATTCTACGATAGGAGAGTACTACGTGGGAGAGGAGTCCACCTTCAATTTCAACTCTGTATTCTACCTGAACAAAAGGATGCCACTGGAGAGGCAACAAGCCATCAATAGTAGGTAAGTCTGATTGTGGCGAATCTCGGGATTATTTGTAAAGAAGGTTGCATCGACGGAAGGTTGCAGGGCGGAAAATTGGTGGAGGGGAGGGGGGGAGGAGGAGGAGGGGGAGGGGGGGTCGTGCAAAAAAGTAAATATTGCAACCTTGAATTAAAACTATTAGAATCCATCGTGAATGCATATTTGGTGTTTTCTAATTTTGTTATAGGGGGTATTCACTGGACGCCATATTTGAGGTAACTGCTCACAGCGCATGCCCGGAAAGAGTTTCCGGTCAGCTCTCGGGCAACCGCAAGAGAAGAGGCGAAGAAGAAATCCTCTCATCACCGGGACTCTCCTTTGTGGGTCCCAGGCTTCCCCAAACGTCGCTATTCTCCCTCTAGAAGATTATAGAAGATTAACTTGCCACTCAAAATTCGTAGAAAAGCATCTTTCCCCTCTCTCTCTTCCCCCGTGGTCAGGAAGCAGCAGCGAGCTCAGCTATGACGGCCAGTGAATACTCCCTATACTTCATTTGCATGTTTCTTGAATCCGAAAAAGGATATACGTCATTCCCTTTTGTAATATACCTGTTCAGAGTAGCATCAAGCGAACTCTGATAGCCGCTGGGGATGAAAGGACGTGTGTGGCAAATAAAAATAATCTCCAAGTTGATTTATTCTTAATGCGTTAGAATTAGAACGCATGTTTTGACGAAGTCCAGGCGGTATCTGTCAGTTTGTCAGCACCGGCGAGAAAATGAGGAGGGACAAAGTGTGGGGACGCGTGCGACGCTCCTATTGGTTCAATGCGCTGACGTCGCCGCGCGTTACCCTATACATCTTCCTCTCTATATGTCCACGGAGCCGACAAGCGGACAGGCGCGCCGCAGGGTTTTCTTAAAAACAGGCGTTTTCGCCTTCGCCTTCGTCAAAGCAGCGTCCCACAGCTGGCGCGAAGGCAGAGAGGAGGAGGCGCTGCGGCGCGGTAAAATGGAAGCGTGCTAAGTGCCGCTCTGGGTCTCCGACGTAGCGGTGGGTGGGCTGTGATGTGTGTGTAGTTAAAACGATGGATGCGGTTCCTTCCACGACTGATATAGATGCGGTTCCTTCCAAGAGTGGTATAAATGTGGTTCTTTACACGCGTGAAATGGATGACGGTATTCAAGGCCGTCGACGTACTCTGACAGACAGAGCGCAAGAAAGCGGTGAGAAAAATTAAAGTGAGACCCATTGGTGGAATTCTTAGGGAATGCGTTAGCACATGACCCTTGGGCTGCAAAAATGGAGGAAGCAAAGAATAAAACCAAAAGAGAAAACCAAAATAGAGGAGTGAAGGGGTCAGCGTTCGCGTTTCCCAAAGAAAGACGCGTATATCGTTTCACAAGGATCATGCTAACGCATTCCCCTAAAAATCCACTAATGGATTTTACTTTATTTTTTTTTTTTACATTAGAGCCAGCTTTTCCATTAAGCACGTCTCAGTGCTGTCACGTTCACCAACAAACCACTCAAGACACTGTCTATTGTAAATGGATTACTTACAAACCGGAAACTTGGAAGAGGTAAAAAGACACATAAAACCAATCCGCTGCGATTCCTTTTAATAGTCATTCTGATGACAGTGTGCATTATTCAATAGCTAAATATGGGCTTCGACACTAGCCCGTGTGCTTTGTAGGGATCTCTATATCGCGGTAATAATTACTGCCTACTAAGTCTCCAAACGCTCCTGAAGTGCATAGGCTGCATAAAAGAAGCATGGCTTACAAGCAGTAAAACAATTCAACTCAAAATAGAGTAGCCCAAATAATTGTTCTTGAGAGCACATGTTGGTATTATTTTTCATGTACTCTAAGGCACTGCAACTATTAAAGCCATCCAAGCATACAATTTTTATGAAGATTCACGCACTGGCAAAATAACTGATGTCAAGTACACTGGCACCACTTTGTGACCTGTTTTCATTTTCTTTCAAAGGATTTTGTGGCTCCGTGATTCTGGCCTGGTGGCAAAATGGTGGAAAGATTCGTCAGGCCACTGGCAAGGCTGCGGTCAGACCATCAGCGACGGAAACATCTCCTTCTCGGATTTCAAGGACCTGCTCCTGTTCTGGATTGTCATGTTATCCGTGTCAACTTGCATTTTCGCCGTCGAGGTTTTAAGCAACCTGAGCTATCGGATCCGCCCGGCCATTTGCAACAGCGATGTCGCTTTCACAAATGCGCAGGCGGATTAGTAGTTTCTTCAATGTAGTACCACATTCTCGATGCAATTTTCCTAATTGCTTTCTTGACAAGCACGGTGTCGGCATTAATTGCAAACTTTGAATAGTGCGAGAATGGAAGTCAAAGAAGTTTAAACAAAGCAAGATGCACTGTTGCCATGCAATTCTCGGCAGAACCAGAATCATTGGGCATCCACTGCTTTACGCCGCACCTTTTGCGTGATGTAAGGAAAGAAACAATAAATTCCGTTATCAGGCGTTTTGCGCTGTCCACGTCATATTGAAGGCTTCGTAGCCTCAAAGTATGCCTCGAGTAGGCAAGGACTCTGCGATTTCTGCGATTTCACATAGTTTTTCAAGCGGGGAAAAGTCGAATGTTTTATTAGCAGGCTTCATTCCACGTGCAAAAATTGAGATCGTAAATTCTACCGTTCAAGAATGTTGTCACTAAAAGCTCAAACATATCTATGGTACCAGTTATAGGCCCTAGATGTAGTTGCTGTCGAAGATGTAAGCTACATTTTATGCTATTTTCACAAGTTAAAACTGTTACAATCTTTATCTGGCTGCTAGCGCTACCAGATTTCATAGCGGTAGTTGTCGGTTACCTCGATTGCCATCACGAGACTTTAAAACACTTCTTCAGTTCTTGAAGCGAGAGGAACGACGGCGTCATGTTTCTGCTTAGCCGGCCACGTCCTGCCGGCCGTGCGGTCTATCCCCGCTTGAAACTAAAAGCTCAAACATATCTATGGTACCAGTTATAGGCCCTAGATGTAGTTGCTGTCGAAGATGTAAGCTACATTTTATGCTATTTTCACAAGTTAAAACTATTGTTTTTTTTTTTCAGAAGTAATATTCTTTACTTTTAATGAATGATAGAGCATTTATCCAATTTACGTCTACTAAACTTTCCAATTTCCACAATTCGAAGTTTACAGAGTTTATATTGCTATATATGAAATTCGGCAAACTTTATGATAATTTTTGTGGGAGCCAGAGTCTGCCACTACGCCCAGATGCCGCTGCCGAGCGCCCAAACTGGACAACGTCCAAGGCGCACAACAGCGAACGAAGAATAGGCGCGAGAGCCTATAAAAGAGGGGACACGCCCCTAGAAGGGAAGAGCCGGACCGAGGTCACGGAGACGTGCAGGTCGAACGCTGCGGCCATGTTATTCTTCAACACTAACAGCCCTTCGCTGTTACCTTAAAGGGGTAGAGAAACGAAATTCCAGCGATCAGGTAATTGCTTTAATGTGTTGCATGTTGCAGCGTAATCTCAAATACACAAGGCATGCGTTGAAAGGCACAAGCAAACTAATTTTGAAGCTAATTAAACGATCTTTCAATGTGCACCTGGTGGATGCATGCGGAGCCTATTTGGGATGTAATCTAGCAACGATGGGGAACTTGCTACGTAGTCATGACGTAGCAAGCTCCATCGGAGCAGCGCCGCTCTTTGGAATTTCACCATTTTTCTTCTTAGCTTTCCTCCTCAACTCACAAATCGCGCATTGAACCAACCAGTTCAAGAAGACGGAAAGGAGTGACCTCCCTCTTTCTCGGACCCCCTCGTTTGTGCACCCGGATAAAGCCATTCTCCCCCTAGAAGATGAGCCAGTCGCTCATAATTTGGACAAAAGTTGCTGTCCCCAGCCCATTCACCCCTAAGCTGACAATGTTGTGGAAGCTACGTGCTCCTTGGGCCAGCCACATGCTCGTCACCCCACGGGTACTTCGAACGGCTCGGTTGTAACGCGTTGACGCTATTTGCGTCTCCAGCTCGCGGCTCGCCCTCCCGCGGCGGAAACGGGAAGCGCTTTAGTGAGGGTCCCCCAATTCTCCTGCTCAGTGGACATGGCGGAACTGCTCGCGATTATGGCTCGCGAAGTGTCACTTCCGAATGCAAACAACACTCTTCACTGTCCCAATGTACTGCTGCAGCCGGTATGGGATCGTCCCTTACTAGATAGTTTTAGTATTGTGTATAGAAGCAAACGCAAGCGATGTCCGTTTACGTTAGAGTCACGTGCTCGGGCTTCCAACGACAATGAAACGTGCTGCAGTGAGCAGACGTGCAAGTAGGTAGGCGTTCCGTCAAACTAGCAAGGCTGAGATTTGCAAAAAAACGGTGCGTAAAAATGAAAGTAGCTAAATGTTATGAAAAGGTCGGTAATTAAAAAAAAAAACGAAATTCGTTTGTTTGTTTGTTTGTTTGTTTGTTTGTTTGTTTGAGGGGAGGGAGGCATTTCGTCTTGAAAGATAATGGCTGGGACTTTGGAAGTTCTGCCGATTGTCAAAAGTCGCGACATTGATAGCATCATATGCTTTACCCACAATAGACCGTTTCCGAAATTCAGTGCCATCTGGTGGCTCGTAAAGCAGTTCAGGTTTTGCCATATCAATGGCGGAAATGAACATGTATCGGCACCGTCACTTTCGCAAGTCAACGGCACGCAAGGAATTGTTCAGTGTGAGTTCTTTCTCGATCACTTTCAGTTCGATGGTGACCAAGAACCTGCATTCAGAACAAAGCTCAAACCGACTCAGATGCCTCGAGAAAATTCCATACACCAAAGTGCTTCAAATCCGATTGTGTGCCGCCCACAGATTGTTCAGTTATTAGAAATAAACGCTTACGTTGCTCTTGTGTTCCATTCCTACGTCGCGTCGTACTGACCCCCCGAATGTACAGGCCTCGCATCATCCACTTAGGAGCATTTTCAACGTCTTCCTTTATCAGTCACTAGAAGGCCGCCATTGGTATGGCACACATGCCGTTCCACAGATGATGATAGTGATCAAAGTGGCCAGACTGAATTTCGAAAAGGGTCTATTAATGCAATTTTACATAGATTTAGTACATTATCTAGAATGGTGTAATTGATTTATACTATTTTTATTTTATAACTTGGTAATTAAAAAGGCTGCAATTCGAACCGGTGGTGATAATTACCACACTTTTGAGCAATATAAAATCCTATGCTTCAAGCGTTGCTTCAAAAAACACACACACTTCAACTGTCTGATTGGGATTCCGCCTTTGTGTTTTTGTGGCAAGAACAGCGTTTCTTCATTCATACGTTTTGTGACCATATTGTAAAAATTAGATTTATTCTGTTATTCTTGTGATGGGAATGTTAACGCAATTGATCATCTAAATACCCAAAAATCCCATAAAAGCCCCGCAGTTCATTATTTCACATGACAATGATCTGACCGTGAAAAGGCAGTAAGAACGCACAAATATAAGCATTCATTTTCTCAGCAAATACAATATTTTGGTACCTCTAAGGTGTATGAAAGGCTCTGTCTTTAAAGGGACACTGAAATCTCCGAAATATTTTGAAGTGCTGGGACCGGCCACGTAAGTCGCAAAAAAAGTTTCAGCGAACAACTTATTTAACTAAATAATTACGATGTGGGACGCATCTTGAGTTATAAAAGAATCCGAAATTAAGACGTAAACAAAGAAATTAAATCCAAATATAGGTTAGTTTCGGTTTCGCTCCCGAATTAAAACGTGCCTCCTGGCGTAAATATTACACTGAACACTGTTTTTTTTTTCTCTCAAGATAAGGAGGTGACCCGGACTCATAACAACCTAGCTTCCTCGTAGCACCAGGAATAATTCGTGCCGTTCAGTGAATCCAAAACACTAGACACGCTCAGCAGCTAGCGGCACGTATCTCCGACACTCACTATATCCGCCATTTTGAAAAAATGAGTGGCGCCACCTATAGTGAATTGGAGTCGCGAATCGACACCGCCACAACGCTGACAACGCCACAAACGGCAAAGCTCATAACCACGCCAGCCTTGCTACGCGACGAACGCAGGAATTGTTTTCTTTCTGTGTTCGTTTGCGTCGGATATCTCACGACGCATCGCTCTCTCCGTTCGCTTCTCCTGGAGCGCTTTCTTGAGTGCACCGTTTGGAACAAAAAATATAGCCAGTCGTTCAAAATACAAACGTGCGATTATCATTTGCGGTAATCATCCGAACGAAATTTGGATATTTAAATTTTTGTTTCCGTGCCCCTTTAATAAATGTAGTTCCTTCTTTTGGAAACCCCGGCTTGGTGTTGCTCCTCCCGGATGAGCATGCAGCAAGGCAACCCTTCCATAATGTAAATATTGCTGAACTGGAAAAGTGCCTCAAAAATACGTGGACCCGAGAAAGGAGGGACAGGACCAAGCGCTACTTACTACTAACAGATTATTGAAAACACACGCACTCGTGTGTTTTCAATAACTGTTAGTTAGAAGTAGCGTGTGGTCCTGTCCCTTCTATCTCGTGTCCACGTATGTTTGAGGCGCTTTTCCGGCTAAACATATGGAACGCTTTAATAATCAAACTTAAAATACCTCCGCGCAAGGTCTCCTCACACACCTTCACGTCGTATTTCTTGCTGCACCTTTTCCAACCGACCCGTGAAATAATGTGAGGATGAAATCTCGAAAGCGTGCCGGAAAAAGGGGAGTTGAGCGATTCCGCAAGTTCATATGACAACCGGTGCTCAACATCCCGTTTGGCGCAGAATGCACCTGCCAGATTGTCTCCATCGTTTCATCCTGACTCCCAGTCATCATAGCCGACAATCCTCGGGGCTTACGTCCTAGTAAATTGTGTGGTTGCCTAGTAGAAGGGGTGGCCGACGTCCCTAACTTTCCTCATCGCGTTCTCGCCGGAAAGGCAGTCATTGAGGACGGGTTCAAAACTATTCACAGGCCGGATCGCCTCCCAATACGGTACACTTAAGTCAGGTGGAAAGTCATTGTCTCCCTTTGTTATCTGTTACCTCTGCTCAAAAGCAAAGAGGGGTGTTCCAGGTGTCTTTATCTGATTCCCCCAGGTCAGGTGGACCGGGATTACTTGTCGCAGGAGGCTGCTGTTCTTGTTCAGAACCAATAGAGGCGTGGGAGGGATAATCTGGAACACGTTCGCCAGGTACTTTTGTCATTGAGCTGTCTGGGACACCTGTATGCCTGGAATTGTCGATAAGGTTT